GAGGAGGAGGAGGAGGAGGAGGAGGAAGAGGAGTAAAGCCTGCTTCTCCTCCCCGGGAGGGTCATACCGGCTTATCCAGCGTCTTGGGGAAAGGCGTGCCGCTGGAGGAGGAGATCTTTCTGCAGACCGTGTTGGTGTGGCTCTGGCAGCGGCAGCCGGGCCGTTTCAGGCCGTCGTAACCCCGCTGGCAAAGTTTGAGGCACCCCAGGGTGGGAAAGTAGCAGCAGAGGCAGGGCATGAGGAGGGAGAGGAAGCTCATGGCAGCCCAGCGGGCGCAGCAGGACCCCGGCCCGCAGGAGCAGGGGTCGTCAGCGCAGGTGTCCTCATCGTCGGTGGAGCAGTGGTAGAAGAGACCCTTGACGCAGCAGAGGCAAGTCCCGTAGTCGAGGAGGCTCCCAGGGGAGCAGAGGCAGCGCTGGTTGCAGAGCCAGCAGGAGGGGAGGCTGCGGGCGGCCGTGCAGCGGGCACACTTGCAGCGCCCGCACTCCTCGCAGATGAAGAGGTGCCCGGCGTGGAGGGTGGGCTTCTCCGCCGCCCCCTTCAGCGGCGACTCCTCCGGTTTCAGCTCGCCGGGCTGGGGCTGCGTCCGGATGAGGGAGTGCCCGGAGTGGGAGGGCGTGAGGCTGCTCAGGAGGCGCTGGTCGGAGGCAGTGGTGCTTTGGGAGACGGAGCTGGCCGTGCTGGAATGGCTCATGTGTTGCTGCAAAGGTGGCATCTGGTGCTGTTGGCTGTGGCTGCGGTGCAGGTCCTGGAAGGTGGAAGACACCAGGCGGTCCTGGGACCACTCTTGCTTGTGCGGCGGCTGGGCCAGGGATGGGTTGGAGCGGGCTTGCTGGAAGCAGGCAGCCGGTCTCTCCACGTAGTTGTTGCTGGCACGGATGGAGCGGATTTGGTCAATGGACAGGACCTGCTGGAAGTCCTCAGCGGGTGGGTCCATCGTCTCGTCACAGCTGAGTTCAGCCACGCTGGAAGAGAGCTGCATTTCCAGGCGCGAGGAGACCCGGCGGCATCCGGGCACATCTAAAAATCCTAAGGGATGGGGCGGGAAGGGAGAGAAAACATTTGTGTTATGGTTTGTAACGGCTCCATCCATCCAAACCAGGAAGCAAAGACCAGCTGGAGAACCCCTAATGAAGTTATTTCCAACGACCAGATGCAAAGAAACTCCTGCCCCTGGGGAGACTCAGGCTGGACACATCCGAAAGGAAAGGGCCCCAAGACCTGTCCCTTGGGACAGGCGGGCACAGCATCTCCCTGAGCTTTTTGCGTCCTTCCAGAGGGTTTCCCACCCCTTGCCAGCACCGACAGACCCCGTCTGCCCTCCCTCTCCTTCCCCGGGGAAAGTGCCGGACCTCTCTACAGGAGGGGGAACTTGAAGCTGTGACTTATCCAGAGCCAGTGATGGAACTGGGAACGGCATCTCCGCCAGAGCAGGAGAGCCTGGTTTGGGGCTTCCCAGCACACCCCGAGCAGCCTCCTGGTGCCATACCCCGTGCACACCAGGGGCACCGGGGATGGAGGGGGTCGGGGCACGTTTAATTTCAGGCAGCATCAGCAACAAACTGCAGCTAATGAGACACAGGCTCGGCCAGGGACCAGTGATGGAACTGGGAACGGCATCTCCGCCAGAGCAGGAGAGCCTGGTTTGGGGCTTCCCAGCACACCCCGAGCAGCCTCCTGGTGCCATACCCCGTGCACACCAGGGGCACCGGGGATGGAGGGGGTCGGGGCACGTTTAATTTCAGGCAGCATCAGCAACAAACTGCAGCTAATGAGACACAGGCTCGGCCAGGGACAGGCTCCCCGCATCCCGGCGGTTCCCACCGCAGCATCTCCTTTTCCCAGGCGCAACCGGGAACCAATTTACCCCGTCCACCAGCGCCGAGAA